CGGGAGGGAAGTGAAGGAGGCTGACATTTCAGAGCAGTGACAGCAGCAGCCTCACAGCCGGAGACCCGGAAGGAAACGCTCAGCACTGGAACTCAGCCACCTACCGGCGGCTCCGGTGCGTGTGCTGACCCCTATGCCCGTGTTTCCGGGAGGAGGCTGGAAGCCAGGCGAGGCTGGGGACAGGGTGCCGGGAGGAAACCAGGCAGTGGCAAAGGAAAGGTTCGGCGCTTGGTTCTCCGGCGGCATTGTCATTAGCGCCAAGAAACCCCCGGCATCAAGGAGCCCAGATGCGGCAGGGAATCCTCAGCACCCGGAGCCATGGGCCGCCCGCGAGTTGCCAATGTCTCTCCTTCTCTTTCAGCTCAGAGCCAGGCTCTGTCCGGCGTGGGCTGGATTTTCAGGTTTGTTTCCCCCGACCCGTTCTAATCCTGCGCGATCTGCCGGAAGTAGCCATCTGCCAATCTGCCGCTATACAGGTAAGATACTCTGCCTTCATGGAGACCATTTCACGTCTAACTACTTTCAGGTCGGACGCTGCCACTTAATAAGGTTTGGAACCCTACACGGAGCCACTGAAAGGCATAAAAATCGCTTGTTAGTCACGGCACTTCCTTCTCCCATCACCAGCGGCTGGCTTTGTTTTGATGGCTCCATTAGATACAGCTCCTTCTTCCTCTTCCTGACGCCCTCTTACAACAGGAGGTGCTGTATAAAAAGATAAATCCCCCTTCACACCCACAAAGCTGCATCGCCACCGGAATGTTTAATAGGAACATGGTGTCATGGCTCTGATACTTAATAGTTATTTTAAAACACTACCCAGGGCGGACACCAAAAACCAACCTGGATGTGCCATCCGAGCGGCCAGGTCTGCCGGGGGCATTACGGGCCGATGGAATGTTTGTTTACAAGCCCCTGCAATGGGCTTCAGGCCTCAATGACCGAGACACATCTGACTTGACTGCTTTCCCCGGAAAGGGATAAAATGAGATCACGTGCCTTCTAACTCCTGTCCAGCTCATGACAAACCGCCTGGAGGGACACGTGGGAAATCTCAGTGTGGAAGCTGCATTTAGCCATGACCAACTCTGACGGTCTTTTCCGGAAGCTATCTCTATTTCCAACATAATCCATTAGGGCTTATCACTGGGATTTGATTGAAATTCATTGTTTTCAACCTGACAGTGGCCAATGACTTAATATCAACCCTCTTTCCCATCGGGATGTAGGAGTGGCACTGAAGCTTAAAGCGGAAGGACACTTTGTCAATAGGTCTTGAGATTCCAGCGCAGTTGTCGTTCGAATAGCCCATGCCCCCTGCTCAGTGGAAGAGGAGGGTTGGAGAACCAGGAGCCAGCTCTGTGGCTCCTACTGTTCGGATCCAAAGCCGAGGGGTTTTCAAAAATTAATACAACACATCGGTGAAGCTCCCCTCCCCCCCTGCCCCGTAAGGCATGTTCAGAGCGAGGCCAGGGCAGCCAGCTGTGCACCGTTAGCTGCAGTGAAGGCCTCCGCCGGCCCAGCCGCTCGGCAGCTCTCGATGCTGGAAGCCAACCAGCTCACCACAGTCCCCGCCGTCCTCCTGCCTCCGGTTCCGCGGGGCTGCACACCCACACGCCTGCCTCGTGGCTACCCATTCATCTAGCAGCTGGAAAGATGACACTTGACATTTGGAATCTCTCCTGTGCGGACCGCTGCCGGCTCTCCCATTAGCTCCCAGTGAGAGGGTGAGGTCGAATAAGCTGCCGCAGAACCTGCAAAGGGTCCCGAGCGCTCCGGTGCGGAGCGGGGCCATTTAAATTTCTAATTCCCCGGGCCCGGCTCTGCAGATAGCGCCGGAGCCACCGGTGCGTTTCAGGCAGACGGATGCCTTTGAAGATGCGAAATTAAAGTGGAATTTTAAGCGGCGATAACAAGTGTCTTCTGTGTACGGCAGGCAGGGGGGACTGCGAAGCCACAGAGACGGGGACGCAGATCAGTTCCTCCAAGTTTGTCTCCAAAAGCCCTGACGGTTATGTATATGTATTTTTGCAACTGCTCATCTTTGTCCACGGCAGAAATCTGTGACACGAGGCACGCCAGGATCATTCTTGAGGTATTTTCACATCATAAAAATCCCTAGAGGTAGCTTTAAAAATTCTTACGATTCGACATTGTGGGGCTCCTTTTGAAACTCACTGAGCTCAACAGAAAATAAAATTGCAGGATTCCAGTGGTAAGCAAGCGCTGTATTCTCACAAAGCTCTCAGGATAAACATCTGCCTGGTTCCTCTTACATCTGCACTTCCTTTAAAGACTCCAAACCAGAAAGCGTAACCAGTAAAGGTGTTAGAAAGACAAAGTCCTTCCAATATTCTCAAACTTTTAGAAAATGGCAGAAGATGAAAGATTCCATCTATTGATATGAACGCTCATAATCTAATGAACTCTACCGCCTTCACCCTCTCCGCTGTGCTCTGTCTCAAACGTCCGCCTTCAGGGCGTGCTCACCGCTACCTACACCTGCTGGTTAACTTGCTGTTTCCCAAGTGAAAGGCCAACAGCACAAATAGGCCCTCTGAGGGTCCAGGCTACGTACGTAAAACTAATAATACAATTAAGAAGGAAAAATTAAAGATAAAAAAACACACAGAAAAACATGTGCAGAAGAAACAGGAGACACGAACGCTGTATAACACGCCCAATCTTTAATCATCACCATTCTGGGCTGAAATCACGTGTGTTAACAGCAATTTAGTGATGCTGAAGAGTTCCTCATCTCCAACCGGGGCAGACAGGGGTCCCCACGGATGTGCCTCAGGGCCCCAATCTCAAAGCAACACAAGCACAAGCCCTGGGTTCCCATGCCATTCCACCCACAGGCTCTCCAAGAGGAAGCTGAGCTCCCGGGAAACCATGGAGATAGTTAGCAATAATGGAGCCCTCCTTTCCCGTCCAACGAAACCCACAGCTGACTCGCCTTAGGGTCGGCCGTGGCACGAAACTCCCCACGAAGCGCGGAAATCACCGACCCCTTTCACAGAGCCATCGACCTGCGCCGGATGGTAATGGCTTTCTGTCAGCCTTGACCTGGTCTGAACGGGGGGCCAGGCCTTGTAGCTCATCGCTGAGATACCTACGTCCCCCAGCAGCCAGGGATGCTGGTGGGCCTCGATCGAACCAGAAGCAAGGACACAAACCTCCAGCAGTGGGAAAGTGGGTCGTTAGTGCGAGGAAAGTGTGATGGCTTTGAAGGAATTTACAAACACCTATTTCAAAATACAGCCCTAGTCTCTATGCAACTGAGCAGGATCACATTCTCTGTGAGGGAACTTCACTAAAATACCCACGCTTTGCCCAGCCAGTGTTGCTCAGCGGTTGAGCGTTGACCTATGAACCAGAAGGTCATGTTTGATTCCTGGTCAGGGCACATGCCTGGATTGCGGGTTCAATCCCCAGTAGGGGATGTGTAGGAGGAAGCCGATCAGTGATTCTCTCTCATCGCTGATGTTCTCTCTCTCTCCATTTCCCTTCCTCTCAGAAATCGATAAGAATACATTCTTTTAAAAAACGATATTGCTATTTTGGCAAGTTTATTGTTTATTGAATGAATGAATCCACTAAACCACACATGAATGACAACATTGCAGACAGTCGGATGTCTATGGGGGGATAAATAAATGCCTAAATAAAATGCTTTTAAAATTATCTGAAACAGCCTCATTTGATCTTTGTTAAAGTTCTATACTTTGTCTTTCTTTTTTTAAAAATATATTTTATTGGTTTTGTACAGAGAGGAATGAAGAGAGAGATAGAGAGTTAGAAACATCGATGAGAGAGAGTCATCGATCAGTTGCCTCTTGCACACTCCCTACTGGGGATGTGCCCGCAACCAAGGTACATGCCCTTGACCGGAATCGAACCTGGGTCCCTTCAGTCCCCAAGCCGACGCTCTATCCGTTGAGCTAAACCGGTTTCGGCTATACTTTTTCTTTCTATTCAGTTCTCCTAGTTCCTAATTTTTCTCTAACAAACACCACTGAAAGGAAAGGGCCTCCAATCACCTACACAACCCCCACAGCACATATCTGTAGCTCAGACTCTGAGCTGAGCAGTGTGCGGTCCTCTCACAGCATCTTCGCTGCAAACCCCTGGGCGGAGCGGGAGTTATCACTGACGCCGGGAGGACTCGCCGCTGTGGGTAACGGGCCCAGGTCACGCCGTTCAGAAGTGTGGGGACTGGGCTTGGAACCAGGTCTGATGAGTTCAGAGCCCACCTTTCTAATCACTCCCTCAGCCTCTCCTCAGGAAATCAGGCTAGGTCCCTCCCAACAGCAAGCGTGAGCCAGCACCCGGCGCTCAGGGAGGGTCACCGATTACACTCACTAAAGACGCTCAAGTGACGACGCTCCCTCAGACAACTGAGCAGAAGCAAAGGGAAAGAAGGGCTCCTGTTCCTGAGGCCATTGATCAGATTCAGGGAAAACAGTGAAGTCAACAGAAAAACACCCTAAGATTCCTTTCAGGTGACAATTGGGAGGCACCAGAAAACCACAATCAGCATCAACTGCAGTGGAAATTCTCCGTGCACCGCCATGTAGAAGCTGGAAGAGGATTTAAAACTCTGGGGGAGAAACAAACACCTCCCACTCTCTATGGATGCACTTTCAATTTCACCCTTTCCAACCTCCCTGCCCATCCGCCTTCCCACCTATTCGATCCTGCAAACTGAATTTCCACCTTCTCTAGGTTCCCTCGGCTCCAGCCCCAGAGCTGTATCTGATTACTTTCATTCCTTCAAGGAGATAGCAGTCTGGTCAATGAGATGTCTGGTTGACCTAATTTGGACTCCACACACACACACAAAATCAGAACACTTTCTCCAAGTCAATATGTATGAGACTGATTTCCTATAGAGTTATCATATGTATTATAGACATGTTGATATGAACAAGTAAGTGGTAAAAATAAAGTATTTATCCACTGGGCGAAATGAACAAGGATCGATTGCATATGCCTACCTGTATGTATCTGTGAATGAACCAGGAGGCTTGCTTTCCATCATTCACCGATTCCACGGTTGTGTTAGCCATTCCCACGATATCGCCCCCTGCAAACACCCATGGCTCACTGGTCTGCATCGTCTCGGGGTCCACTTCTGGGAGACCCCATTTGTTAAATTTGATAGGGCTCAAGGCTTCTTTCACTGAGAAAATAAAAGGTGAGATACAACAGATAATGACTAATCTGTGCATCTTGTAATGATAATCTGAAAATTAAGAAAAATTATGATTTAATGATTATTCTAGGGAATCAAACAACTGTTTTTAATGAAGCATAACCAAGGAAAGTTAATGACCTGAGTTAGAATGCATTCAAAGTATTCGACTTAACCCTCAAGACATCTGTCTTCCTCGTAGAAATTCAAGACCAGAGAGTTGGGCGATGTTTCAGGTCTGGTATTTATGTCTAAGGAGTATGAGTCAAGGAAGAAGGAGAGTAGGTCCTTTTAAATATTGTAAGGGATATGGAGTTTAATTTAACCCCTTTAAATAGATTGAAAATGCATTGTCTAGACTTTCTTCGTCCATAACCACTGTTTTCAGATTTGCTGCTCATATGCTCCCAGACTGTTCCTTTGTGTCCAGGTGTAAGTTATTCTGCGAGTGTGGGTCAATGCACAACGATACGTTTTATAAACAAAACAGTACAAAGTCTTCTACACTGACACTAACTCTTCTGCTCTTAATGTGGACAATTTTATGCACAGGAGGGAGAGTTTCCTTTAGCCACTAATTTGTTGTGTTCATTTTGTAAACGTTAACAAAGGTGAATATGACTATTAGCCCCTCAACGCAGCTTCCCACAGCTGAAAGAACTGTGGGCGCTCTGTGTCCCAATGCATTCAAGGAAGGGGGAGAGCTCCTGTAAGAAAAACACCCGGAGGAAGCTCTGACTGGACCCATGGTCCTGAGAGTTGGAAGAGACAAAGTGAATCAAGGCCATGAAGAAAGGTCGATGGCACCTTAATGATGAAGCAAACTGAGCCACGTGTAGGAGAAAATGTTCTCTCGCGGTATTTGTGTCATGAATTTGGATGTGGCCTCTCAGGACAGATTGAAGGAGGTATTCTTCACTCCAGTTCAAAAGAGAATATAGCCCGGCGGGTATGGCTTAATGACTGAGCGTTGGCCTATGAATCAGAAGGTCCCATGCTCGATTCCTGGTCAGGGCACATGCCTGGCTTGTGGGCTCCATCTCCAGAAGGGGGTGTGCAGAAGGCAGCCGATCAACGATTCTCATCACCCATGTTTCTCTCTCTCTCTCCCTCTCCCTTCCTCTCTGAATATTTTAATTATTAAAAATATTTTTAATATTAAAATATTTTTAAAAAAGACATAAATAGGATAGTGAATAAGAGGTCAAACAGCTGGTTATGAGTGTATTTAACATATTATAGCAAAGCTTATGTCAATTGAAATAGAAACCAATGGTTTCCTTTTAATATCTAGTATGTTGACTTGCCACCAGAATCTTCAAAGGATCCTGGAAAAAATAACTTGTAGGAACGTAAGCAACGCGACCAGCAGGGCAAATGCGCTCAGTGGCACTAGACAGCCGAGTCCAGGATGACCCTTCATGGAAACTTGATCTTCACGTGGTGCAGGCCCAGTGGCCTCCATGTAAGTATATATGGAGCCAGGGGGTCGGCAGATAGGTAGATAGAATATGAATTTATGAATTTGCTTTTGAAAACGTTGTTGGAACTGATGCTGTAAATCCAAATAACATCTCTCATGATTCCAATGGACTCTTTTGCAAGATAACCACTATTTCTGTTATTTAACCACATTCTTCAAAGCTCCAGAGGAGTTAGCATAGAAATCAAATCGAGGATTCAGTGAAAAGAAAGACAAAGGCCATGATTCTTCATCGCCTGTCAGAAAGGGTCCCTCCACGCTGGCGAAGGCTTCACCTTCCTGTGCAGGCACCTCTCCTCGGCGCTCCTGGGCTCACAGCGCCGCGGACACCTTTCCTGGGGCACAACCCGACACCCCAGGAGCGTGCCTCCTGCTCCGCCTTCATCCAGCGTGAGCGAGTGAAAGCCGAAGAGCATGGGAAGCGTGCTTAGCTGTAAACCAAACAGCCGCGTGCTGTTTCCTAGGCCTTGGCGACTGGGTGTTCATAGAAGGGCCGCATTCTTTCCTTCTCCTTTGTACCCTAATGGGGTGGGGAGGGACTTCCTGTTGGGACCAGGCAGACCCCGAGGAGACTGCATCCTGCTGGCCCCGCAGCACAGGCCGGGGAAGCTCGACGGCAGGACAGAACGAGAACTGGACAAAGAGCCCAGGCCCCGCTGGCGCCAGGCCTCCACTCCTCTGCACCCGGGAGAGAAGCGTGTTACATGTGAGGGTGCCTGGACCTTCATGCAGACTTTCAAAAGAAGGAAAACATCCCTGATTTTAACCAAACATTGGAGATGCATGTTAATTTTCGGCTTTAATTACTACTATGTTCTAAAGAGGTGTTTTTTTTGTTTTGTTTTGTTTTTTGTTTTTAAGACACTGAGGTAGCTTTCAGACAAGAAGTGGTTTTGAAGTACGTAGGAAATTTTAGTCGATTTAATGTTATGCATGAAATGATTTCCCCCCGTAGAGGCTTAATTGTATTGTGACACACAAGCTCTTCAGTAAGCCCCAGCTTACACCGCAGCAGCTGGCCCTCAGGGACCCGTCACCAGCAGACGCAGATTGCCAAGGTCAATCAGACGGCTGGAGCTGCGCTGCTGGATCGGCAGACAAGCAGCCCACAAGCATATGACAAGTCTGTTTCTCGGTATTCATAAAAGGGTGTCAAGGATGTGATATTTCGGCGCATAAATGTAAAGTAATCCTCCATAAACAATACAACTGGAGTCACAATGAACAAGGATGGCTCCTGTTCTATGCTGAGTCTGAGATGTCACAGCAAGAGGGGAGAGGCCCAGAAACCCAGCACTGACAACACAATGGCGTCTTGAAAACAGAGCTGGGCCATCCCTGTGCTGGTGGGTTCATCTGCAGAACCATCAGCCACAAGGACCAAGGCACAGAGAGCGCAGCGAGCTGGACCACGTCCTGGTAAATCAATGCCGAGCGCAAGGTCTCGGCAAGAGCAGACCATCTCTTGGTCAGAGGTCCCCTTAAGGAACGGGGGAAGGAAGGGCCAGGGCCAGAGAGTGCTGTTAGCAACTGAGTCATCAAGTCCGAGTTCTTTCTTCGCATCGCCGTCCCATCGGAGTCTTTGTAGCAACATGCTAGCCACTCTCTGGCCCTTCAGAGTCAAAAAGGTCAGCCTTGCTTCTGCACCTGTCCGTTCCTCCGGACCCTCCTTAGAATACTGCATTTCTCCTTGTCTCCTCTCCTTCGGAGAAATGGTTTTCTCTTTTCATTGCCCTACTAACATCTTTCTTTACCTGATTTCTTAGAATAATTTACACTGACTATTGACTATTTCCACCACCCAATTATTCCTTCCAGTCTGCCCCTCGAGGGAAGATATGGTCTCCATAGCCAGCAAGTTCTGAGACCCGGCCTCCTCCCTCTGCCTTTTCTGTAGCGTCCGATGGTGGTGGGACCCTGCTAATTTGATCTCCTTTGATTGGCAGAGTGTCCTTCTATCTGGGCTCTCCCCATCTCTAAGCTCTCATCCAGAGGAAACTCTCTCCCGGCGACTCCCTCTGGCTCAGGGGCATCGCCAGCGCCGAGAGAAGACTGTGGAGGAAAGTGAACCTCATTTATGGGCTTCTTGTCCAAGGCGGGCATGAGCTCACTGCGCCACAGAACAGCTCCTTCACCCGAAAACAGCCAAGGGCGGCAGCGCTGGCGTCGGAGTCCAGTTATTTCTGACTCCAAAGTCCTTGCTGCCACTGACCCTCGGCATAGAAAGCGAGGCATGTGTCCCTAAGAGTTTCTCGAAGCTTCACTTCTGGGACTCTAGGGGAAGCAGTGGGGTTAGAGGGACAGCAAAGCATTCTGGTCTTGGCCAGGTTTCTGGATACAACCTTTAGCCCATCGCACCCACTGGGGCCTTCTCACGTCCCTTTGTGCTAAATTAACCACAACCATCTCCCACTGAGCAAGCAACCGGGTAACTTCTCCTTGAGTTTTGGGACAGAGTCAGCCCCTTTCCTGGCATCTAGCCCTGTAATTGGGACAGAGGAGGGACTCGTGCATAGCTTTTGGTTGAAAAAAGTAATATGGAAAATGTAATAGCTGTTGTCCCATTACTTAGCATTCATATTTAATTTTGCATAACCTATGATCAATTTATTAATTTTCTTGGAAGTCTTATTTCCACAATTAGAGAGCCACTGTGGAGAATAAATGCAAATATTTTCCTTTTTTTTTTTTTTTTTCCTTCTTTAAAGTTTCTAAAATAAAATGTCTCCAGCGGCAAATCCACCGCCAACAGAAGAGGCCGTTGGCTAATCTCTCTGGCTTCGGTTAACTATTTGATGTCCTCAGGACTCTGGTTAAATCACGTGCAGTTTGAATAAGCTCGTAGGATCCAGGCAGAGAAAACACAGATTTCATTTTCCTCCCCAGAGTCCCACACAAAGGACGGACATCAATAACCGCTGCGGCAGCCCCCGCTGTCCCTTGTACTCCCCAGGGGGCCTCACTCTCATTTCCTCCACTGACCAACTAATCAGCTCAGAATTAAAATGGTCCAAACACTTCACCTGGATTTGCTTATTTCTCTGCAGTAATCCCATCTATTTAAACCTCAAAACTCCTTGAAGATCTGATTTCATTTTATCTGGAAGCATCTCCTCCAGGAGGGCAGTGTCCTTGAAGGCAATGCGTGGGGATTGTTTTCAGGTTCTCTGTTGGGTCCCCAGATGCCGCCCTTTGATTTGCTTATTTATATTCAATGATACCATCTACTTACGACCACACACTCCTGGAAGGAATAGACATCCCTTAATCTGATTTGGACCCTGATCATCGTAATTCTATGCACATTTGGGTGCTTAATACTTCCTGATAATTGGGAGGCAGAGAGAAAGAACGCAGACAGGCTCCTGGGGTGTTTTATACACATGCTCCTCAGCCGGAGAACGTTCCAGAATGCCGAATGAGATCGTGAAGTGATACAGATAATGACAGAAAGGGGTTAAGAAAAATGTTTACTCTAAGATTCCCCATTGGCTGCATGTGAAGC